TTTTCTTTTGTTGCATTGCTCTGATTAAATGAAAGATGGAAAACATGACACCATCTGCTTGTTTCAAATGAAAATACTTAAATACAAAAGCTCAAATATTTATTTCCTTGATGTTTACCAGTGCAATAAAGCATCAGACCAAAGACAAGACCAAACTACAATAGTCAGCACGGCAAAAATGAAGGTATCTTTGAAACATGCATTACATCTTATCTCAGGAATGCAGATCTGTCACTTCCCAGTGCCTGAATCTGCATCTTGCCATCTTCTATTAAAAGATAAGTCTTGACTCCTTTGTATTCTACCAGATTTGTCATGTAAACAAGGATCTGTTTAATGACTTCAGGCTGCATTTCATGATGTTTGGGGATGCTGCACAAATTGCAAACAGAAGAAACTGAGTAGTTGAATACCGTTTAAAGTGGCTGTACTCATGTTAGTCATTACCTCAGATGGTTCAGAACATTTAAGTTATCAAATTGCAGAAACATCTCGTGTGCATCGTAACTTATTGTTGATGGCAAATCTGGTGATTCTCTTGTAATTCAAGCTTTGTTGGAAATTTCTAGAATTTATGACTTCGTTCAAAACGTGAACCAGAGGCTTAAATAAGGATAAACTTTTATTTCTTGTAAAGTAGTTATTAATCATCCTGGCAAAGAAAAATAACTGCTAATGGTAGTTAGTATATTTTTAGCAGCTGCTGCTTAAAAGAAACTAGATTTATATCCTATAACAGCAACCTATACTTGGGAGGAGAGGTCACTAAATGATAGATGCACTGGATGTTTTGTTGTCTTGCTTAAAAATAAATTTGTTGGATTCTTCTCAGTTTCAGTCTTCAGATAATGCATGCATCATAGTCCTCTGCACAGATAACTGTCCTTCTTCAGAGCTTTTTTTTTTTTAAAGCGCTTAAATAAGTTCTCCCATCTAGTTTGATATCCTCCCTCAAAAAGTAGCGCAAAGAACATTTAGTGGCAAGTACAGAGAGGAGGAGAACAGTAATTTCCCTGAGTAGTATTCCAGTTTTTGACTTCACAATGCTGATTTCTAACATAATAATAGCGCTGTTAAGTCTTAATTGTTTTAAAATCTTCTTGAGCCTCGATCCACTTGAGTTTTCTTGGAGTTGACGTACCAGAAGTTACATGACAATTTTGCTTGTCAGGAGTTGGAATGAAAAATCTCTTACGCTAAGTAAAAGGGTAAATGAATACCCAGAATTATATATTGTTAGATCTTGAAGTTGGAAAAACTCGGTTTTAAATCTGTTAAAATGCAAGTGTGACTGTTCCACTCTTCTAGTATAATCTCTGTGAAAGCTGTTTTTGAGAGCTCTGCAAATTAATCTTTTTACTGGTTTTGAGAGACATGATTGAATGCTTTATGTAATATTAAGATTTGTATATATACCTTCATTGTTTTAGTAAATGTCTTCAATTTGGTTACAGAGAGCGAAAGAAAAGAATTGAAAAGCCCCGAAGGTTCAGCAGGAGTCATAGCCGGAGTCCAAGTCCGCCACCTTTTCGAGGACGAAATACAGCTATGGATGCACAGGAAGCATTAGCCAGAAGGTCAGAAATTGTTATGATTTTAATGAAATGTAATATAAAAATAAGCTGCTGCTGTTGACTTTTGCATGTCTAAATACTTTTATACTCATGCATTTATTTCTAGGTTGGAAAGAGCAAAGAAATTGCAAGAACAGAGAGAGAAGGAAATGGTTGAAAAACAGAAGCAACAGGAAATGGCTGCAGGTAACTTATGAATATTATATTAAATACTGAAGAATAACATGGGTGGAAGATAATGCAGCCTTATGTGCTGAGTGCAGCTTGTCTTTCCTTTGGTTAATTGTTAAATTGGTCCATCCAAGAATGACAAGTAGAAATAGGAAATAAGGGGAGGGGGGATCAGACAGATTGGCGGGGGAATAACCTAGGATTTCTTACTGTCTTTTATAGTATTGATGACTTGGTATCAAAAATGTTGTATGTTAGGCTGCTAAACAATTTTGTGATGTCTATTGGACGCTTCCTGTATGTGTCACTAAGCAAAAATTTGGAAGCTGTTACTAGTTCAGTGATATTTGGAAGCATGAGGTACATTAGACTTTTACCAAAACTATTGGAGAACTGTTTCTTAAAATATAAACATGGCATTTATAAATTATCATGCATTTCTTATTTTCAGCTTGCTGCTAATGAAGGGAAGTACTTGTCTTTGGAAAAAAAAAAAAGTGTGAACTTACTGATACAAGTTACTGTTCTGTTCTTTAGCAGCTGCAGCCACTGGAGGTTCTGTTATTAATGTTGCTGCTCTTCTGGCATCGGGAACACAAGTAACTCCTCAAATAGCAATGGCAGCTCAAATGGCAGCACTACAAGCAAAAGCACTAGCAGAGACTGGAATAGCCGTACCTAGCTATTACAACCCAGCAGCAGTGAATCCCATGAAATTTGCTGAACAAGAGAAAAAGCGGAAGATGCTTTGGCAAGGCAAAAAGGAAGGGGTAATGTCTTACTTTCTTAAAAACTTGTTTGGAAACATCTTACCAGTAGTTCAGGAATGCTTATTAATATTATTTTCAGATAAAATGCTTTCATACACCCTATTAAAAACATTCAGGGTAAAACTGGAGAAGTGAAAGGACTAAGATGACCACACCTTCAATGAAAAGTGGTAGTGACACAAGCCTTAGGAAAACAGCTGATACCATAAGATCCAATTATACCTCAAAAATTTTAATGTCCACTTTATTAGTAAATAAAAACTTCACAGTAAATACCAAATACAGGCAGTCTCTTACTGAAAAGTGATGGCTAACATCAGACATTCATTTAAAGATAAATAAATTCCATAATTTGCTTCGGGCCTGTGTTCTGACAAGGTTCCCAAACTTCATGAAAATGAATATATCTGTCCAAGAGAAGATTATACGTCATTTTGAAACCTGTGGTTAAGCAGATTTTCCTCACAAAAAGTTTCTGTGGGGATACGCAGGAATGTCAGACGTAACTTGAAAACATTTTGCCTCCAGCTTTGCTACAGCTACACAGTGGTCTCATTTTTAATACAGCTTGTATTTGTTTGCTATTATATTGTGATATTAACAAGAAAGTATGTTAAAAGGCGATGTTTGTTTTAATCTTGTGCAGGATAAATCACAGTCTGCAGAAATATGGGAAAAATTAAATTTTGGAAACAAGGACCAAAATGTCAAGTTCAGAAAACTGATGGGCATTAAGGTAAAGAGTTATGAATGTATAATTAAACTTCCTATTAACTCTGGGACATCAGGTATATTTTAACATCCTTACTTAGTAAGGCACTCTCCAAGTTAACCTGTTGCTATGTGATACTTACAGTATAACTTATTGTTCAATTTAGTTAATGAGCATAATTTATTTAATAAGCAATACTTAAATACTTATAGTATTGCTTATTAAAGTTTACAAGCAATATCTAAATTAAATTTTAGAATTCGATCATGTTTCTTGAATCTGTTCAGATCTGTGACAAGTGGTAATTGTTCAATACTAATAGTAACAGTTCAATATTCATAATGTGATGTTCAAATTTTGTAGCTATCTCTGTATAGATAAATGGAGATTTTTAACTTGAGTTAGAAAAAGGATCTTAGTGAAGGAATATACATGTTTCTTTACCACTGAGAGCAAAAGCTATGCTGGAATGTTATAGCAGTAAAATCCAATGCTTGAATTCTTATGCCTGTGAGAAAATTACTAAGAATTTAGGACAGCTGTAGCATACGAAAAGCACTTATACAAAGCTAATGTTTATTTTCTTCTATCTGGTTTCTAGAGTGAGGATGAAGCTGGCTGTAGTTCAGTTGATGAAGAGAGTTACAAAACGCTGAAACAACAGGAAGAGGTTTTCAGAAATCTAGATGCACAGTATGAAATGGCAAGATCACAGACGCATACACAAAGAGGAATGGGATTGGGGTTTACATCTTCAATGCGAGGAATGGATGCAGTTTGAAAACAAGCAATTTTAAAGTTGGGGACTTTGGAAGGTTCTTGTTCAAATGTTGGGTCCTTGTTCACCAAAAAGCTAGCATTCTAGCTTGCATGGGTGTTGCATTGACTTTAATTTATTGATAAATACAATTTTTTTTGTAAATATCAGATCAGTGATACTGGTGTTAGTGTTGTAATCAGGTTATACCCACTTCCATTAAACTTGACAGAACTTTAGAAGGACAGTATTTTTTAGTTAAAGTTCTACTTTTCAAACCAAGCAGCAGATGGGATGAACTCATACATGGATATTTCGTGTCCACTGTCTTGTGTACTTTTGTACTTTAACCTTGTACAGTTATTTTCAATTCTTGAAACATGAAAGAAACATTGTGTAGATGTTATTTAGCAGTCCAGGCCAATAGGCACATAATCCAGCAAAAAAACCCTGGTTAATAATAAAGAAGTTTTTTCTCTAAGGTCTTATTTTATGTTAATTAGTTGTCTTTTGGCCAAATTCTCAGGAAACTATAGGTGAGAGATGTCAGAAAAGTTAGGAGAGGTTAGAAATAGAGCACTTATTCTGCTTTGCCTGTTTCGAAGTACACGTTTCTTAAGGAGATTAGTGGTATGGATCACAGATTTAGGGATTAATACTGAACTTTTTTTTCGTTGTTAGTTTGGAATCACTTTTGGTAAAGAGAAGAGCAAGGGACAATAAAAACAACAGTGCTGAGAAAGTGGAGGTGCTAGAGCCCTTTGCTAATACTTTATGTACTGTTCAGGGTACTTGAAAGTACTGAAGTGTTAATTTAAAACAAAGTCATTTATATAGTTTTTTTTGTTATGTAAATGTGTGTTATAAGAATGCCTTAATCTCTGCAGTGCACGGTCCAGGCAGGAGCAGGACACAGAAACACATCCTGCCATTCTTTTCTCTCCACACCTTCCACATAACACCCCCACTTAATAAATAAAAATTAAAAAAAAAAAAAAAAAAAAGGTGGAGGAGTGAGAAAGTAGGGCTAAAACAAGGGTTCAACTCTTAGTTCCAGGTGGCGGAGTCCCCATTTTGGGGAAACCCGCCCTTCGCAGAACTACAGCCTCCAGCGTGCACTGCGCCTCGGGCGCGCGAAGCGAGCGGAGACTACATCTCCCAGTAGGCAAAGCGCTCGAGGCTGGGCGCTGCGGCGGCGAGCTGCCGCCGTTGCATGCCGGGAGTTGTAGTCCTCCGGCCCCGCGCTGGGGCGGCTCCCCCTGCCCTTTGCCCGTCGCTCCCGCCAAGCGCCGCCCTTCCTGCTGCGGCTCAAGATGGCGGCTGAGGTGGATTTCGGCGACCGCGAGCTGTTCGAGCAGCTCGACGGAGAGGATGGGCCGCCGCCGCCTCGCCTCGGCCCGGAGGAGGAGGAAGAGGAGGAGGAGGGACCTGGCGGGGCTCTGGCCGAGCTGCGAGAGCGGCTGCAGGGCTGTGAGGAGACGGTGCGGCGGCTCCGGGCGGAGAATATCCTGACGGGAACGGCTGGGCCTGCTCCGGGCCGGGGCCCTGCGCCTCCCGAAGGGCGCCGAGGAGGGAGTTCGCACCCGAGTTTTCTGTGGAGTTTCCTCTGATTTTGCTCGGATTTTTACCCTCAGGATACTCGGCTCTATACCAGCGGCACCTCCCTTGGCAGAGGAGGTAGTTGAGTTCTGGGATGGCTGGTAAAGCACTTAGTGCTGGACTCCTCCTTCCTGCTTGTATAGAGAAAACAAATAGTTGCACGTTCACCTTGAAGATCCATTATTAACCTAGGTAGAAATAATATTAAACCGGTAAATTGTGACTGGTTCCTTAAAGGGTTGTTGGGATAGGTCGCATAGATGTTGGGATAGCAGGTACAATCTGAGGTGTTTTCTTCATGCTCATTTTGTTAGTTATTCTTAGTTGTTCGTGTAGTTATTTATTTATTTTCTATTTATGAGTATATTTTACTGTTGACTCTTGTCATGAGTATAGGGATTTTAAAAACAGACCGGTGATCTGATAATTCAGGCATAGTGTCGGTAATGAATTTTTTGGATTGACACAGCTAGACCCTTTTTTTCTTAATTTTCCGAAATTAACTCTATCCTAGCTGAAACCAGTACATCAAATATTTTCTTACATTTGCACTTTATGGTGTGTTTTTGTTTTTTTTTTCAGCAACAGGTGGATTTGTAAATAATCCTCTGTGCAGTGAGATGAAAGATTTGTTGTTCTGTGGGATTTTTGTTAGGTGTTTTGTTCAACTCTGCAATTAATTAAGGTGTGGTTGTGTCTTGTGAAGAAAGTAACATTCCTTAACAAGAAATTAACATCAGGAACTTAAAAGGAAGCTGAACATTCTGACTCGTCCCAGGTACGTTAATGCTGGCTTACAATGCTTTGTATGACTTGTGTATGTTTGCAGTAGTGGTACTCTGTGACTGGTAATAGCTGCAGTGTGTTTTGCAAAATCTAGAAACCTCCTGCCTGTGTCCCCCACTCTGCTGACACTGGCCTTCTAAATTGCTGTTGTCATCCTTGAAAAAGTCCTTCAGACTCGAGTATCAAAAACTTAGTCTGTAGTGCTGTAACTTTTTCTGTGCATGCTGTTATGATCTGTCTGTTTACGTAACTGATGTGGCCTTTAGGGAAACAGTTCTTTGTGAAGTTCAGCAGTAAGAACAAGTACGTTAAAATAGTAAAATAAGAGTATTATTTTGCTGTTTACAAACCAGTGCCTGGTCATTAAATGTCTCTCTTGTTTTCTTCCAACCTCACAACAGGCATGATTTGCGTGGAGTAGGAGAAGGATTTTTGTTTAAGAGAACAGAAACTTATTAAAATAATAGAACTTGCATTGGCCAAACGTTCCTCTGCTTATAGAATACAGACTATTTGTTACAACAAATAGGATAGAGAGCTTTTACAGTAAAGCTAATGCAGTAACCATTATTTTTTATCTGTTCTGTTCTAGTGGAATTTCAGTGGACAACTCTAAACTCGATGGACCTCTGTTGCAGATTTTATTTATGAACAATGTCATTTCTAAGTAAGTACTTTTACCTTTCAAGAAAAAGTCCTGACAGGAAGCCGCGTTTGGTTTTTGTTTGGGTATATTAGTGTTTGTCGAAAGGATGTATAACATAAACCTGATACGCTTGCAGGGAAGAAAAGAGTTAACGATATGACAAGCGGTCTGCTGTTTTCACTAGCAATGTGTATAGCATGAAATGAAGTGTGACTTCCAGGAGCTTGAAGTGAGTCTGAATAACAATTTGAGTTTCATGAGTGTTGTTGGTAAATACAGCAAATTAACCTTTCCTGCCTATATATACATTTTTTTATTATTTTTTCACGCTAACATAATGGTGTGCTTCTTAGTAGGTTATCACATTTGTGTTGGTGGCATTTAGGAGTACTGCTCCTTTTCTAAATTCTGAAGAAGTCATAAATGGCAGGTTCTTGGAAAAAGATATCTGGTATATGTTTCCGCCTTGCTTATTTCTTCACCTTCTTATAATTCTTCATTCTGTTGCAGGCAGTATCATCAAGAAATTGAAGATTTTGTTTTTAACTTGGTTCAGAAGTATGAAGAGCAACAAAGAGGTGAACAAGAAAAAACACACTTCAATGTTAAACCACAGGTACTGTGAAGCTCAAATTATGACTAGGCATTCCTTCTCTCACATCTTTATAGTGGTAGCAGTGTAAAAGTTCAAAATTTCAGTATTAAATAGCTGAATTCTAGATGTTTTTTCCTACATAAATGCAAATCGGGGAACCATCAAATACATGCAGTAGATCTTCTTCAAAAAAATCCTTTCTATAAAAAAAAAAAACTTCCTTAAAGTTGTCTGCATTGAAATTTGTTTATAAGCTTGGTGATAAGTTGGTTCAAATAACTAAGAAAAGTTCTTTAGGTACAAGCTAAATGTGTATATGTCTGAAAATGTTTGGCCCAGCTTTGTCTTTTTCTTTTTCTTTTCTTTTTTTTTTTTTTTTAATCTCAGAAATTAAGAGAAAGATACAAAGAAATGATCTGTATGGTATTTTGGACTGTGGAAAGCATTGTCATTAACATAAATATTTCTATTCTACTATTTAACTAATGTGTCATGAAAAAATAGTAGTGGTACTGCATGTTCTGTGTCTCTTACATACTTGATTAATTTAGGAGATCTTCTCACTTATTTCTAATTAATTGTTTTTGTTTTTTTTTATGTCAGCCCTCCAGTGTTCTTTTGGAAGAGGACTGTAAACCAGCAAGCTCTAATTCTGTTAAAAAAATTAAGGAAGCTTTTAGTGTAAGTTTTTGACTATATACTCTTCAATGGTAGGTCTTCATTCTACGTGCTTAATATACATTGCCATTAAATAAGATCTCATCATTAAATTTGATTTATCAATGTAATAATGGTTAAGTTCACCATGTTTTGGCCATATCAATGGAAAAAAAATGCTGATTTGTACAGGTGGGGGTGTGTATTATTTGTAAATTCTTACAGAGCGGGTGAAAAAGCTGGAAGAATTTCAAGTGGTGTAAATTTTTAGAAATGCTACCAATAATCTGACCTAAATACTGACATCATTCTGACAATTTTCTGAATTTTTTTCTACAGGTTGTAGGAAGTGTTCTGTATTTTACCAATTTTTGTCTCGATAAACTGGGACAGCCTTTATTAAATGAGAATCCACAGCTGACAGAAGGATGGGAAATACCTAAGTATCCTGTTTCCTAAAACAAGGGGTTTTTCTGTTTATCAAATCCAAAGAATGCCAGTTGGTAAATTGAATTCAATTTCGCTTCAGTACATTGTACATTGCTATCAAAACCATATCAGTTAGAGATGAAAAACTTTAATGAAGAATTAGTGGATTTTTTTTCCTCTAAGTATATATGTATTTTGATATGATTGGCTCGCTGATTTTTAGAAGACTTATGTTTGGGAAGAGTGAATGCTATATCCCTGTAAATACTTCATGTGAAATTAGAACTTTCCTGGGCCAGTCTGCAGTCAGGTTTGGAATGAAAGCTCATTCCAGATATGAATAAGCATTTTCCCTCTAGAGGAGAAGAAAAGGGCTCAGCCAACTTGAATATTCTCTAAGGTGATTTTTGCCAATTTTGGGAACTGGAGAAAAGTCTTTTAATTATGTAATGCTCTTAACTTGCATCCATTTTATAGTTGGTTCTCTGCTGTGTACAAGAGCTATTATTTAAAAGATGTGATTGAAGGAAATACTGGAGAATTTTTTTTATATTGCAGTCAAATGACAAAATTTAATTGATAAAAATGAGGAAATAGCTTGTTCAAGTAATCTCATCTCCCCAGTTTCCTAATATTGCTTCCTCTCCCAAAAGTGTCTGGAGAGGAGACAGTTTCACAGTTCATTTCTGTAATCAAGAATTGAAATAAAGGTCGCTTCGTAGTGTTAAAAAATTATTTGTATCTGAAGAAAAATTGGAAATTTATAAGCCAGCTAACCTGGGTTTTCTTGTGCCTGCCTTTGACTGTGTATGCACTGTGCTGTAATTTTACATTTGGAAAGCTGCCTCTGTTGTAATGCATTGGGACAATCCTACTCCAAATGGTACTTGTACCATCTCTCAACCTCCAAATCAAGGAAATAGGAGAAATTCCTGTTAGGTACCTAAAATGCAAAATTAAGTCTGGCTAAACTTTCATATCTGCCAGCTTTGCTTTGGTATTACTCTTTAAATGTACTTACTGCACCTTTCTTGACAGCTCCCGCAGACATTGAGCCTAAATAGTGAGTTACATGGTATATCAGATACCATGGTTCTAAATAATGGAAGTATTAATGTCGATTTCACTAGTACCTGGCATCTGCTTTTTTTTTTTTTTTTTTTTTTTTTTTTTTTTAAACAACTGTTAGATTCTGGAAACTGACGTGCCTCTGAACTTTACTGAACCTCCTAAGTCTTTTCCATGCCGGCTCACTTGGGAGCCTCTTCTCTCCTCATAGTTTTCTAGACAAATAGGCAGAGCAGCTGATAAATTGCAGTCAAAATGCAAACACAAGTAGCATATGACATGACTTGTCTACGCTCAGTTAAGAAGTTATATTTTTGAAATTCTACCAAAGTATATTATTAATAAGATTGATATAAAGTATATCAAAATCATTAGTGTGATACTTTTGCCTATCAACAAGAGGATTCTAGTTTTAGCAAGTGCTGAAAAGGAACAGAATAGGTTGTCAGATAGAAATTGGTTAGTAGAAAATGATACGAGCCCACCTTAAAAGTGGATATAATTTTATAGTTCTAAATTATTGACTTTAAGCACCCATCTGTAATTTAATCCAGAAGAGTCAGTATTCTATTCAAAGCAGCAGTAGGTTACCATTGATATTTTAAATGAGATTGAAATTTTGCTTCATCCAGTAGCAGTTCCTTATTGAAATCTAAAGATATCATCAAGTTTTCAGCCAGATTCTCTCCCTAGATGGACAAGAAATACAAGTAAAACCAAAAAGGTTTGTATTACTCTTAAATATAAAGTTTTGAGCTGAAAAGTTCAGATGTATACTGTTTGTTCCCATATGTGCTAAACCATTGAACATACTTGAGCCATAAGTTTAAGTAAACCAGTGCTGAGCTTTGCAGTCAGTGGGTATCTGTGGTTTACTGCATTTTATTTAGGAAGGGTCTATAATGGACGTGTAAAAACTTTCCAAAGTTGTTTATGGTCTGTTCTTCTGTTGCTTGTCTTTTAGTGATTGCTTTGTCATCCCTGCACGGGTGTGCTATCATTGTTCGTACTATGTTGTAGAACAATTTCCTGTCTGACTAGTTTATAGACTACTAAGACAGAGGGATCCTAAGAGTTGATTGCATAGCTTTTATGGGAGGGTAAGAAGTGAAGTTAATTGACTTTCCACTTGAAAGCTTGTGTGGTCTTTGTAGAATCTGAAGTCATTGATTTCAGTTGCAACAAGAGCCATGCAAGCTTTTATCAGGAATTTCAAAGATGAAGGGAAATGTTGACTTCAACTATGTTTTGTTTAGAAATACTACCAGCTGAAGGGAAGACAGATTGAAGGGTTGTTCTCATGGTATGGAAGAGTGATAAAATACTTGAATTGTTGCAGAATGTTTGTGTTCAAATACTAGGTAAAGATGAAGCAGAAGGCATGCTTCAAAGGGAGGGCAGGTGTCACTTTGGATGCTCATTCTTGTGTCACCCTTTCATCTCTGCTTCTGGTTCCCATCCTAGTTTGATAAAATGAATGTTCAGTAAAAAGCCTTTCTCTAAAATCTTGTTAAGAGATTGGGATATTCCCTCCTATAATGTTGAAAATATTTCCCATGTTATGAATTTACAAGGAAAATTAATCTTGAAGGCAGTTGAAATTCCATTTCAGGTTTTCAGTACGCAGTTTCACAATATATATATAACTTGTTCAAACTGTGGACAAGGATGTTCCAAAGTAGTAGTCATGCTCTTCTATTTGTTTCTGCAATGCTGATTCTCTGTTTTGTAAAAACTGTCAGACCTTTGATGATACCAGCATGAAAAGAGAAATGCGGGTATTGCTGTACTACAATAGTATTAAGTTGAGTGATTCCTTATCTGTATTCTAGACTTAAAATTCTTGTTTTAACATCCTCTCTTTCCTTCTTCTGGACATATCATCAGCTTTAGGACGTATGTTTTGGTTTGCTTAACTAGTGACAATAAATGCAATGTTTACATACTTAATCAGAAGCAGAAATCCATCAGTGAATTTTATCTGTAATGTGATGAAAGGAGAAGCTTTTTCACCATTAGGAGAGTAAACTCCTGGGTCATGTAGTCCAGGAAGGTTATGCATTCTCCCTTCTTCAAGACCTGATTGGATAAAGCCTTTGACAGCCTGGTCTGATCTCATAGCTGACCCAGCTTTGAGTGGGAACCTGGGTTGTAGGCCTCCTGAGGTCCAACCTGAATTATTCTATTACTATTTTATTCCCTCTTAAAGGAATAGATCTCTATTAAATGGAATATAAAAACTTTATTTCTGCTTGGAAGTACTGCTTTTCTGCTATAATTTTAGTTTTTTCTTCTCCACACACTCTCATGCATTATTTATTGTTACAGTGCTGTATTTGTGTTTTCTCAATTCTTGAGTTCTACTTATGACCGTGAAACAAAATTCTGTTGCTCTCTTTTGAAGATTGATGTTAAGTAGTCCGTTTAAGAAAAGCAGATGACAGCATATGAAATCAACAAGCAGTACTTAAGTTTTTTTTCTTTCAAAGTCTAAGACTAAAAATCCAATAAGGTTTAAAAGAATTAAGTGCACTTAACATTGAATAATGATCTGGGGGTTTAATAATTTCTTCTGCATTTTTTAAGCAGGCCAAAACCGCATTGTTTCAATTGTGGCTCTGAAGAGCATCAAATGAAAGACTGTCCAAAGGTAAACTCTATATCAGTATTTAAAAGACTGCCTCTCTTCAAGAAATGTTTCATATAACTGCACCATTCCAAAAATTAGATGCATTGGTCAGGATGTACAAATAATTATTCGTCTCTTTTGAATAAATTATACTGTTCATACATCTAAGTTCTAACTCGCTAAATCAGAATGTAAGTTATTTTTCATGACATAATGATCTGAATGTCTCCTTTTATCTAGGGACGTTTTTCAGTTTGAGTGGTCTTTCCTCTTGTTTGCCATTAGATTAAATGCAAATACTCCTTTTTTTTTTGTTTGATATGTAGCTTTCATTACAGTTGTTGATATAACTCAGCCATGTGGGGGGAAAAAAAAAACTTGTTGAGGGCAAGGAGTACCATTTTTATGTTGGGTGAAGGCAAGCATAAATTGTAAATTGTTCAAACCTAAACTTCCCAATTATATTATCTTTAAGCCACGAAATGCAGCTCGTATAAGTGAGAAGAGAAAGGAGTATATGGAAGCTTGTGGTGAAGCAAGCAATCAGAATTTTCAGCAGCGTTATCATGCAGAAGAAGTAGAAGAGAGGTTTGGAAAATTTAAACCAGGAGTCATTAGGTATCTCTTTTCCTTTCATTAGCTGTTGCAATGCTTTTCTGGAATGACTTTTTCTTCCTTTGGAATGCCAGATGTTATTCTCCAGAGTCCTATTTAACTGTGGGTGTATTATGTTAGAATTTCTTTGCCCAATAAAATTTTGTTTAACAAATAGCACATTTTTCAAACCATAACTCTTATTGCTAATTTAATAACCCTGACTCTCTATTCAAAATATTAAAAGCAAACAAACAAAAAACATAATTTGGCCATAGCAGTCTCTACAGAAAACATTAATAAATTTAGTATTGCATTAAGTTTCACCCTTCCTGTCCTGATAGCTACAGTTAAGGCAGTGAACCATGGGTAATAATAAGTCAGGAGCTAAGTTTTCAGAGTAGCATTGCTTCTCGTACAGTATTTAACCATATGAGAAATGGGTGTGTTACACATTATGTTTGACATCAGAGTTGTTTTTTTTTTTTGACCTAAAGTTTTTATTTCTGGGGTTGACTAACAAAATAGTTTCAGCTAAATCATTTCAACTTGATAATTCAAAATTCAACAGGATATCAATTTCCTTTTGTCAAAACTCAGTTATGGACTTTTTTTTTTTTTTTAACTCAGTGGGGAACTTCAAGATGCTCTTGGTGTCACAGCTAAGAGTCTTCCTCCATTTATATATCGCATGCGTCAGCTGGGTTATCCACCAGGTTGGCTCAAAGAGGCTGAAATGGAGTACTCAGGACTTGCACTTTATGATGGTAAAGGTAAGGAATGTGCTTTGGGAATGCATTTTTCAATATGCTTGCTGCGTTCCTTTCAGAAGACGAAGTACAAGTACCTAGTTTGTAAACCACCATCATCCTTATGGAAGAGTGAAAAAGTTTAAATCACGTTTTCTTTTCTACGGTCATATAAGAAATACTCCCCTTTCATCTGGCTGTGCTGTGGCAGTGAAAGAGCTCCTTCTATAATGATTGAATAGATTAAGAAACTTTGTCAGTGTGTTTTCACTCTAATCAACCTTTGATACAAGTCTAAGAAGCCTACCAGCAGGCAAAGAACATCTTTTTGAAAACCCAATTTACTGAGTAATTTACCAGGTTTTTACTAATGACCCACATTATACCAGATCCCAGAGAACAGTCCTGATGCCAATTTCTGAGGCTAGTAATGTTAGATAAATGTTAGTAATATTATGAATACCCAGTCAGGTTTATGGGGTAGCTTCTTGCACGTATCTGATAGGTTTGGTCTCTGTTACTGCCTTTGTGGATTTCAAAGCCTTCATGTATTATTGTAATTACTTGTATTCAAAAAAAAACCACCATGGGTTCTTAATCCTGTAGATTTCCTCAGTGACATTAATTAGCATCAATAATAATTGCACTTTGTTACAGATGATGATGGAACAGAAGATGAAGGATCTCGTCAACCAAGACGTGTCACTTATGATGTCTCTAAGTTGATAAACTATCCAGGCTTTAATATCTCCACTCCAAGTGGGATTCCAGATGTAAGTGACTCTCCCCTCTTTCTGAACAGCGTGCTGAGTAACAGTCATTGCAGTTAGCAATTTAAGTTTAATGTTATGTTAAGTTTAATGTTATGCATTCTGCATCTGATGATTTTCTTTCAACAGCCTTTTAAGTGCTTGATTTGGGGGTGGGAGCTGCTGAGGTAATTGATATGGCACCTATCTGATATATCTGACCATGCTTCTGGGGTATTTATTTCCTTTATGAGACTAACAGGAGCCTAGGGAGATATTTGGGTTTCTCGTAAAGACAAAACTTTACAAGTGTGAGTGCCTCTTCATTCCCCCTATCTACATTTTCAGAATATTCTTGGAATATGAAAGTTACTGTGGGTGTTCTCACAATTTTGACTAAAGAAAGCTGCATAAGACCGGTGTGCAATCTCTGGCCAAAAGTTCGTATTTAAGTTCTATTTACCCCTGTTAAATGAGGTTTATGACAAGAAAATAGATTTGTCTGGGCTTGTTAATGTCTTAGCATTTCTGTTAATTTTTTCCTGTCATGTTTTTAGCCAATCATACGCATCATTCAGCCTTATTTCTCTTTTTTATTGTTGTAGGAATGGCAGATATTTGGTTCCATACCCATGCAGCCATCTCAACAGAAGGAGGTTTTTGCTAACTACCTTACTAATTTTCATGCGGTAAATATATTTTAATATTGTTAATTAAAAAAAAAGTTTTATTGTATTTAGCGAAGCCAGTGATTCTCTTTATATCTTCATTTAGACTTATTGAAACTACCAGGTGTGAAATCCTGATGCTTTTGTTAGTTTTACAGTAACGCTGTAATGATTTTTTTTTTCACTGCAGTGAACCAGTCAGATAGTCAGTATCTTGGTTTATCTGTTCTAACAAAAAGAGAGCTTCATGTTTAGAGTAAATTCCATTTTTCCAGTGTTCATAGGCAGATCACAGTTGTGCAGTATTTTTTAAACGGTTATGAAAAAAAGAAGCTGTAAACTTTTACAGCCTAAAAGTGGTCTTGGTTCCAGAACTCCCTAATAAGAGAACTTACCTGCTGTAGACATGATATACAGGGTAATTTCAATATAGTGACTTGAGAAAACACAGTCCTTTCATTTGCCATGTAAACCTAAGCAAAATTTCAGTTCTGTTCAGTTGCATTAAATTTCTTAAACTTCAGTGTCTAGTTTACAAACTCAGTCAAATAAATGTATAATTACAAAATTGCTTTAAACCTATTCTTATAGCTGGACATATTAAATTGCATAATCTAATTCTAATTTCTTCTGTTTTCCTGGATAATTTCTTTTCAGCCAAGTCCAAAATCTAGCAATAAAAGGCCTGCATCGAAATCAAGTCATCATCATTCAAAACGACCAAAAGAAGACAACCTGGAAGAAACAGTAGCTGACATGGACATAGATTCTGGTATAGTTATTCTGCTTTTTTTTTTTCCTTCCCTAGTTTCAATTTTTATTTTCAAAGTAACTTGTCTGAATTAAAATGTTAGCATTGATAATGAGAAGTCAATGTTCTAATATTTTTACAGTAATGTTTAAGGTAACCGCTAATATATGCTAGCGGTGTCCTACTAGTGCTGCATTTGGGCCTTTCAGGAATGAGTATTTTCTTTTGCTGTGATTGTCACATCTTTTATTACCAACCAGGAGATTTCAGATGTGCTCAAAGAAATTTGAATGTTGAATTACCAGTTTTGATCTCTTTACTTCTGGTGTATCCCAAAGAAAGTTCTGTTCCAAAGATCTCCAAATCATAAAATATTTGGATGAAATACTGTAGGAAGTTTCAAACTCACAACTTCTTTTAAAAAAAAAAAAAAAGTTAAAGGAGGACTTGGTGTTGTTTTAATGTTAGAATAAATAGAGAAACTTTTAGCTTTGCTTTTGGATTTGCTATGAATGAGGAAGGGTACTTGTGCCTGTTTTAAGTTTGGGAAAGAGTTTGTTGAATAAATTCAAGAGGATTTTTATGTTTTGTTTTTTTTTTTCCTTGAATGGCTGGGAGTTAAAATACCAAATCAGGTAGTTTCAGTGGATGTTGAAACCTTCAAAAAGTTTATTCTATCTCAGCTGAAAAACAGGTATGGGATTATATTAGTGTGCTAGTTATTCGGACTATCCGCACACTTGAATCTCGTCCTAGTCAGGTTTCAGATTCTAATAGCTGTTCTTTAATCTGTTTCCAGATGTCGAAGCATCTCAAAGATCTCAAGCTCATAACAGTTTTGAGTTCCAACCTCCACTGCCACCTGGACCTCCACTGATTTCAACTCCTCCTCCTTTACCACAAGGCACGCCTCCACCTACTCCACAAAGTCTTACACCAACTCAACCTCCAACACCCACCCACCCTCCTCTTCCTAAGACAACTCCACCATTGAATCCTTCCAGTGATGTTGTTCCTCAACCAAAAATAGTGGATTCAACCATGGATGAAGATACTTTAACCTTGGAAGAGCTAGAGGAACAGCAGAGGTTAATTTGGGCAGCACTGGAGCAGGCAGAAAGCACAAACAGTGACTCTGATATCCCTGTTGATACACCTTTAACTGGAAATTCTGTTACATCATCGCCGTCTAGGAACGAAATAGATCTTGTTGCAGAAGTAAGATCATCTGAAACGATGGTCACGGTGGAAACAAAGCTTTCTAGTGTCAGCGAACAGGTATCAGAAAATGAACATTCTTTAACTGGTCCTAATGCAGAAGGTAATTTACTTAATTTAAAGGAAAATCCTGATAATTCAGACTCTGAAGGCATGCTGGATAACACCATGCCTGCTCCCAACTGTGAAGTTAACAATGGAGAAAATGCAGGTGGTAATAAAGTGGTGACAAGCACTGAATCATCCACAAAAAACTCAAGTCCTGTTCCTGATATGAGCAAGTTTGCTGTAGGTATAACACCATTTGAATTTGAAAATATGGCAGAATCAACAGGTGTGTATCTTCGAATAAGAAGTGTGTTAAAGAACTCCCCAAGAAACCAGCAAAAGAAAAAGACTTGAGTTTAACTGGTCTTCCTTTGTTTCATTATGTCCAAATTCCTGCACCCTTTACTCTACTCCAGTTTTACAAACTCAGATAACCTTCCTCATCCTTTTGTAGGAAGGAGAATATCTTGACAAATACAGCTCTGCCCTGTTCTTCCTTGAAACTGAAGTGTTAATGCAGGACTTCCACCTTCACCAGGACCAATGCGACCAGAAAATACACAAGAATTTTCCCAAATTGCATCCTTCCACTAAGAAATAACAGGACTATAGATTTGTTAAGAACAATTTTCTTGCCAATACATGAAACTCTAAGAAGAGGAATTTGTTGTTTTGCTGTTCGTTACTTCAGCTAAGAATTATATTGTCCTTGAGTTTCAGGTGGATTGGTGATTTTTTTTATATCTGTTCTTTGTATAATAATCTATACTTTATAGATTTTGCTAATTATCCTGTAGATAAGTTTAATATATTCAGAATGTTTTTAAGAAGTGCTAATGTTAAGATTTCCCACATCAAAATCTTGGAAATTGGATGAAAATGATCAGGGATTACCAGCATTATCTTCACCATTTCAAGTATTTTTATAAGTTTTTATTTATGTGGGTCGGTTTTAATTACCACTGTATCTTTTGTAACATCCTTCTTCATGTAAACTTGCTGTACATATGTGTTCATTTTTATGTACAGAGGTTTAATAAATGAACTTTTATAAAGATCTTTTTTTAATTGGATTCCTAAACCATTAAACTGCTGTTTTTTGGAAATGAGCCAGTCAAGACAATTAGGAAAAAGAAGCTGATTAAAATGAAGGTGGAGAGAGTTGATTATTTTAGGAAAGGTCACAACTGTTGGGTTCAAGTTTTTATAAACAAGAAGCTGTTAAAATGATTGTAGCTACTTAAAATAGAACTTGCCCATACCGCTCAGTTCTCATTATCTGAAGAACTTCTGAAAGGACAAAGCTTAGAAGTGTTATAATTCTGCTTATTAATTGTTCTAATGCTTTTTTTTCCCTTCTCTCAACTGTCTTCAGAGCGACTGACAGGTGGAATGGCTGTACATATACATTGCCAGCAGAGGGAGCACTGGTTTGGTTTAACAGTATTCATTGAAGCTGGTAAAGCATTTATTTGCCCTTAATAAATGCAGGGAAAAAGTATTTCTAGCCGTGTAAGATGCACAGTAAAACAATCTTTTCAAGAATCTAAGAAAACACTTGTGATGGAGTGACATTCCAGCATGTGTTTGATAAGATAACTTCAGAGATTGATCCTATTCTCCAAAAACCTCAGCTTTACTGATTGCAGGTATTTTCCAAAGGTCCTTATAATGCGTCAAATCACTACGCTCTCTATTTCAATGCCTAGGAAAAGCCCAACCTTTTGCAGATAAAGTGTTTCTTTTTTCTTTTTTCCTTTTGTTGTTCTAAACTTTACAGGAAAGGAAACCTGAAGTGTCTTTATACGTGAACTACTTGTCTTCTGAGAGGCTGAAAAAGTTCTGTTTGCAGCGTATACCAGTTCAGTTTATCTCATTGCATTTGGAAAGTAGAGGTCCAGGTAAAATATTTATCATACAAACTAAAACGATAGACTTTTTTAGTTTTTCTAGGAAAAATTAAGAGTACTGCTTTCTGAGCCAGAAATTGAAAATTTGAAATTGAAATGCTTCCAGCTTCTGTGCACTTCACAAAGAAAGCTCTGATGGGAATCACATACAGATTTTGTGCTTTCTCCGTGCTTCCTCCCATGAATTTAAAAGCCAGTAATCACAGTTGACACAAGCTATTATATGCTGTGTGCTGCATCACTCACATGTGGGTAATAATGTGATGCAGGGCATGAGGTAATGATTTCAAGTGTACACACCTTTTGGGTGTGTTGAGGTGCTCATATTTTAAACATGCAGTTCTCACCCCACACCTTAGAAGATCTTTTTTTAATAGCCCTTTTGAAATGCTCCTTTAGTAAGGCATGCAGACTTTACAGGGATAGTTACATGTTTGTGCCTTGCTTGCAGACACAAGACGAAAATCATCTTCATATTATATGCATAGAACTCTCTAGTTCTATACTTAATTCTTCCTGTTCGCAATAAATTCATAATAAATTGCCCTTCCACATACCTATTTTGATCAATTAAGTCCTCTGTGTTTCTACAAATTCTTACTTGCACCTAAACTAGCTGTTAACTTTATTGCTTCCAAGTTTTAAATTGAAGGAATTGGAGTAAGAATAAAGCAAAGTCATTTTGGTAACCCAGCTTTTAATGTAACATCAAATTCTAGCTTAAATATGGTTAATGCTTTATTTTACAAGGTTTTGAACTTTGCTCTGGGCACCCTTGTAGTTTCTGGGAAAAAACTACTTCATTTTCGGAAGATGTCTCCTGGTATCTAAAGCAAATGTTATCTTGGGAGGCTTGGGACAGGGATGGACTCCATTTGGTGTCGTGTATTCATATCCATTGGAATATTTTTGCAAAGTGACTGGCCTGACTGGTTGTTCAAGTCAGCAAATACTGTTCTCCACCTGTAGTCTGATACAAAGGGAAGTACACAGACACCATATTTGAATTAAAATTCCTACGGTTAGTACTGTGCCCATTTAATAATCTTAGTCTTTTGTTGCTTTTTGTTTGTTTGTTTTGATAAAAATTGTTTGTTTTGTTTTGTTTGAAAGACTTTAGCCTTTTGCAAATGGTGAGCTCTGTGCTATACATGTAAGACACGTAGTTAGATCAGGATGGGGAGTTACCCCTGCTGTTTCTCTCATGATTAGGAAAGAGTGCATCTTGATCTTAAAAGTATTTATCTATACTTTCACTGTTCTTACCAAGTACTATACATTGTTGCTGCACTAAAGATGTTTCTGATTACTGAATTTCTTTAATCTTTCAGGTACAGCTACTCAAATTGTTTTTGTATATTGTAACTGCACTCAGATCACACTGCAGTCTGAGAAAAGCTGAATAGCAAAGTATTTCTGGTACTTTTAAGTCGTGTTCCCATGGTGATAGGTGTGGCATAATAACCTAGATTAGAGCTTACTAAAATGAATAATAAAATTTGTAATGGGGTGGGTATAGTGTGAGCAGGCATCACTCAGATTTTCCCACGAATTCCTGTTGGCATGATATTCATGTTCATTTATAGCATTGGGATCAGTGAAAGTATTTAGAACTGCTATTGCACATCTGAAAAATAATCTGTACAAAATATTGAGGGCATCAATCAGGTGATTAATTATGTCTTAAAGAGGTTTGCATTTCTAACTCATTTTTTATAACCTAATTCACAGTGCTTAAAATGTCATGAAAAGAGCAATAGCTGAGATTCTAGAAGATACCTGAAAGATACGGTAGCTAGAAGAAGAATTAATTTACTGCAAACTCAGTGAGGCAGGATAGCTGAAAAACAACTAAGGGAAGGAAAAAGCTCAAGTATGACTCAAGTGTCTCAAAAGCAGTTGTAATTCCTATGGAACTCTGGAGTACCTTCATTTTGTACCACAGTTGTAATGCCCCTGGTAAGTAAATACCATTGAAGCTTGATGTTGTTCCTAAGAATATGTTGCATAGCTTATAGTTGTGTTTATATTTAAGGTGGTTGGGAGGGGACGAATCAGGAATTAGTCCTTGAAGAAGCTTACAGGCAGGATGAATATAATAACATGGTAATTAATGTGTAAGTGACAATTGGACACTTCCTAAACTTTAGTTAATTACAAGCAGCAGAGATTTAACGTAAGATTTTTTTGCAACTCAATACTTAGCTGTTATGTCTGAACAAAAACTGATTTACCCTTTGTTTATAAGCTTGGCACTCTCAATAGGAACAAAAGACCTGCTTTGCTTCTCTGCAGGTGAGAAATCAAGCTCTTGTTTTGTTTGTTTTTTTTTTTTTACATAGGTGGTGGAATGATTTGGATGATCTATCTTCTTTAACAGAATACAGTTTCTCAGTTATCTGTAAAATGAAACGCTCATAATCAGTGACCGTTATTGTTGTTCAATTAAGTACCTTGTTTAAACAAGCATGCCAAAGAGATTCATTAAATACTGTTCTCTATTGTTTAACCCACATTTGCTAGAACAAATAATGTAAACTTGAATGCAAATTTGTCTTGTGTAAAACACCAGCAAAGAACATAGACTTGCAGGGTTTTTTTGTGACTGTTGAGCTAGGGAAGATGAACACTAAGTATGTTGGGAACGGAATCTTTTTTTGTAGCCTTCCAACCCACTAAGCTGTGAAAGTAATTATGTAGTCTGCAATAATTTTTTAAAACTCACTTCTCGAGGACAAAAACATGTGATATACATGAGTCAAAGTGCTAGAACAAAGGCATTACTAAGTTTTATACGTGATACTTAAGACTAAAAAGGGCTGTTTTTCTTCTAGGCTAACCTATTAGTCAAAGGCTGCCAATTTAAATGACATAAATTTAAAGCAAAAAAATATAGAGCAAGCACAAGGCTTCAGGACACTAAATCTCGGGATCTTATATAGCTGTAAATAGATGAGGAAAATGCACCACTGAGGTTAAAAGGCAGGGCAGAGGTAGCAGGGGGGAATCCTCTTGTGTTTTTGCAAAAACAAACCACTACAGGAAAAAAAAATAATAGTACAAATTTCTGTACTGGGATTTGTGAAGCAGCACTTCAGTAAGAAAAAGGTAGCTAGTTTGTTTTTTGTTTTGTTTTGTTTTGAAGCAGGTGTGGCCAACTATAGATACTGCTCGTAGAAATTCTGTATAAAAACTGCTAAATGTACATATTGAAGAGATCGTTCAGAGGAAGAAAAAAAATCCTATATTCAAAATTTTATACTTGCGTGGATATGTCTCATTGGATATAAAAATGGAACTCTTCAGTCAGGATATCCCTAAATGCAGTTCCAAAAGAATAACATTTTAGCCATTCAGAAAGTTTTTGTACTTTCGGATCCTTCACAAAGCTGAAAAACCACCTTCAACTGATGTTCCCACATTACTGAGGGGAATGATTTTAATTCTAAGTAGACCCTGTAGTTGTGGCCAGGATACTGGTAGTTATGTCAGCAACCTAAATTTCCCTGGAGCGTCCAGCCATTCCTGTTTTCATAGTTACGTGTTAACTGATCTGCCTGAAATCACGCAGCTCAGAAGAGAGCCACTAGTACTTGAATCAAAGACGTTCTGGCATTTGATCATATGCAGTCCTTTGTAGTACCATGAATTTTAGAACTGGCATCTTCTTTTATAACAATTGCTATAAATTGGATGTGAACATACTAGATGCATTCTTTGTTATCACACTCTGCATATATCCAAGGGTACACTGGTACATAGAAATGAAGTCAACCGTTTTTAATTGGGATGAATTCATTAAACTTAAGTTAGAATTGCTCCAAAGCTACTTGTTCTTGGTTTGAAGGTTGATACTGCTTCACTGATGGATAACTAACTCCCTTGTTTCTCTCAAGATGACTTCAATCTTGAAGCTATGGTTCTGTTCACTAAAAATGACATTAACAAGCAAAGATACATTTGCTTTATATTGATATATGCAACATCATTCTCAATTCTTGCTTTACAAACAGGACATTTTTAGTTTTAATTTTGCAAAGAAGTAAAGACAGCTGCTTACACATTTGAACCATATTTTGTCTATAATTTCACCATTGTTTTTGCTTACTGCTTACACTTAGTGAAGTTGTGAAAGACCAACACAAAC